CACTCATTTGACAAGTAAGGGAAGGAGAGTTTCCTTTGGTTCAGCTAGATCAAACTTCTCGACTGCCTGCTGTTGCCACGTGGCCTAGGAATAAAATTGTCTACAGCGTAGTCTGTCCCTTTCCTCACTCATTGCTTTGCCTTTACAACTCAGAAAGCTGCTGCCTTCCTCTCCTGCCCTCACTGCTCCTTCATATTCCTCTGAAATATTTCCCATTATGTTTCTCCTACCATTGTTCTCAGATGGCTTGGTACGCGCACACTGTCCTTTTCCCTACCCTCTCCATGCTGCTCTTACCCTCTCCTTGCCTGGGGTGGAACAAGGTGCTGGTACCCACAAGTGCCACTAGAAATGGAGAATGTGGGGTTGGATAACGTGTATACAGTGAGTGGGAAGCATGCTTGCCTCCAGAAAGTTCACTCCTTAAATTTGTACAGGAAAGGAAGCATGTTGTATTGCACATAGGGGACCTGACCCATGTGATGTCTGTAATAGTGCCAGACAGAAAAATCCTCTGAGCCCTTAACCATTCTTGCAGTGTAGAAGCTTGGAGGTTTCTTCTATAACTCCTGGAAGGTTTTGACTGTCTCTGTCATAGGACGTATACTTCTCTCAAACTTACATAAATGGTTTTTTTAGAAATTGTTCTGATTTAGTGATTGACAAAGCGGAGAGATTTATGGCCCCATCTGTTCTGAGAAAATGTGGGATTTTTGAGGGTATTTCCTTTCTGAACTTGTTCTTACCTGAAAGCAGAAATCCTGTTAAAATGTATTAAGACACAGTTGAACACGTCTTCCTGTTCTACCTTGTCAGTGATATATGGAGAGAAATGGGGTTTTGTGCTTTGAATAATAAATGGCTAACTAAACAAGGAAGCTGCCGTCCACTGAAGCGATGGGTGAGTCAAACGGTACTCTGCATGATGGGCTGACCTGTTCTTTCATGTCTTCTGTGGAATATTTTGCATTGGGCTCTTCAGAAATTTTCTGGCATTACTCAATATGCTTTTTTTCCCCACCTCCTGCTTCTACCCCAGTGCTTAATAGGTTAGAACTAGCTCTCGGGGTTACGTAGGCAAGACATATATAAACGTGCATACACGTATGCACATAAATACACACATAGGTAGAGATAACATATATACTATTTATAAGCAGCAGGCATCACTGTCAGTGGAACAATTACCCTTCGCTGTGAGGATACTCCTGGAGAAGGTAGGACATCAAACGCCAAGTGCTATGTAGAGGGATTTGGTGGTGGCATTCACTAGTCGTCTGTGGCCAGCACAGAGTTAGGATTTTCTAGGGGTTTGAAAGGCGTATGATTCTGTCACCACTTCTTAGAGGCACGGTGCTGAGATGAAGCTGTCCTCTAGGGTCAAATGGGTGCATTAGTTACACGAACAGCAGCTTCTGCTGTACTTTTCTTTGGAAGTGTTGAAAGGAAAGGCAAAAAGTTCGTATCAGCAAACATGAGAATAATGGGCGTGAGGTAAAGCAACTAGATGAGCTGCGTCAGCTGCCCTGCATGTCATAGCTCCAAAGCTTCTGCCTGCCGATGGTTGGGAACACAGGCTGGTATTTTAGCTAACCCAGATTTTGTGCATCCTTGTTCTCTCAGTTTTGCCGTTTAGGGGTGGTTTAGCTGATACTTGGTCACGCAGTATTCTGCAGAGATCAAAAGTTCCACCTGACTTTAACGGGAGTTGTGGGCAGTCAGAATCTCTAATGATTAGGATGATTATGAATAGGATGTTGTAACATTAAGTGCTAAAGGACAGATCTTGAATAAATAGGATTTTCATACTTCCACTGATTTCAATGTAGCTTGGACAATTTACACAGCAAAGAATATGTATTTTAAATTCTCAACCAGAGTATTTAAAAGTGAATCTTTGCTCAGAGAGGTGGTGTTTGAAGTTCTGAAAACCATCCAGGCATTTTTGCTACAGACTTTTTGTTAACATCAGTGGGAGGCTCTGGGGCAGGTTCACTGCTTGGCCTTGAAAATCTCAGCAGCAGAAGGTGTTCATCAACTTTTGGGCCAATAATCTAAGCACAGGAAATTCAGGGCAAGGTCCTCCACCTGTCTGTACGTTTATTCATTTTATGAGAAAACACAGTTTAATGCTTCTTTTCAGGATATTTCTATTTGCTAAAAAGCCCACAGGAAGAGTGGGAGTCAGCTTTGAGTTTTTATTGCTAAAATACACCACTATGTTTAATCAAAGACTTGCAGGTTGTACCTGCAAGTGCTGTTTTCATACTGTGTGTTTCGAGACTAATAAAGATTAACAAAGCCTAATACAGTCACATTTCTATTTTGACTAATGACTGTTAATTTCTGTAGCTAATGTTCTGCTGTATTATGAGAATGGTTGTAAAAGATGGCCCTACATAATTTGTTCTGCTCACCCTAAAATTTATTATTTTGCATGCAAACATTTGCTCTGTTCCACACATTCAGGAGCAGCTCCTCAGCCTAGATACAGATTGTCTTTGTTAAATCAGAGGAGCTGGGCTGAGCTCTGTCAGCTCCAGGTTTAGCCCTCAAATTTCCCACTGCCCCAGTGTTGCCTGAGATAAATCCTCTTGTAGAGAGAGTAAGAGGCTCTCGGAGAATTCTTTCACGGTCCAATCACTTTTAGTAAAAGTGAAGGATTTTCTGTGGATTCTTCAGATTCTCATTTTAAGACTTAGGGACGAGGCCACTTCATGGCATCTAAGATGTTGAGAAAGATCAGGGGAGATCATAGGATGCTAATGTAGTGGAAGGACTTACATCAGATGGCAAACATACTAACTAGGGGAATGTGCAAAGAATAGAGAATCAAATCCATCCAACCTACTGGTTCACAGCTTCTATCTAAAGCTTTTAACCTCTGTCTGCTACATTTGGCTGCTTTCCCTTAGAAATTATAATTGCTGGAAGAGACATGCACACACTCTGCTCCACCCATGCCAGAGGACACAGTAGGACGCTCCGATTCAGTCTGATTCAGTAACGTTGCTGAGTGGAGTACAAGTGATTTCCAGGTATACTTTGGCTAGTCGTATACAACTGTATCTGGCGCCTACTCGTACACGTGACTGCGGCCAGACAGCAGGCAGAAGGTTAAAACACGAGGTGGAACACCTTGTAGCTGTCTAGGCAGTGACTGTTCATGACAAATAAAATGCTTCATTGCATCTTTTGTTCAAAGATTTCCAGGTAATTAGGAAACAATACACCTACAGGCAGGTTCAGTTGGGAGGTTTTCAAAACATATAAAGTGGCTGCATCATTGACTCTCAACACAGTTACAGTCAGGGCTGTTGGCTGAGTTTCTTGAAAATAAGGTTACATATTCAGGTGATTTAAACCTCCATTTTTGAAAGCATTGGTTTTTTCATACTATCTCTGGGTTTCAAGGCCTATCTATAAAGTTTAGTTCTTTTTCAAATAAATGCCAGACTGAGATGAGAACAGGTGAAAGGCTACAACGATTTTATCAGGCATTGTGGATGCTCTGCACATCCAAAAATCAAGTCTCAAGTATTTGCTCTTCAGTGTAGCTCAAAGTATGTCAGTTGCTCACCACTTCTTTTCCTGGGGAGCAGCAAAATGAGAAATTCTTCTTCATACATGTTTTGTCTGTCTATATAAAGTGCAGCCAGTCTCCAGGCTGTTTTCTTCCACTTGTTTTTCTCTTAAATCTATCTCTCTCTCTGTTGCTTATGTTGTTGCAGCCGTGAAGGTCAATGGCTGTAAAATGGCAAGGTTTGGAGGGGGAGACAGTATTTTTCATCTGGAGAAAAAGTAGGCAAGTTTTTAGGCACTTAAATGCTTTTTCAGGTCTGAAATGTCTACTGTACAATAGAAAGTTGAATTTTGGTTTCCAGGGTTGTATTTTGAAGATTTTCTCTTGGTTGCCCTTGAGTATCAAGCCTTGTGGATCAGTTGTAGAGTGGTTTTATAACAAATGAGGGCTCTGTGTGGGAGGACGGTGCAATCTGCGGTTGTATGGTTTCTCACAGGGAACGCCAGTGACCTTCAGCTTTGATGAGAGTAACAATCAACTGGTTCCTAACTGAGACCAGTTTCCTAGGGTGCCTGGGGCAGTGATTTTGAGTCTCAGAGAGCCTCCTCTGCAGGGAAGCCTTCCAAATACAGTATCATTATGCCATGTGAAGCATTTCTTGAACTTTGTATCCTGATTCATTTTTTCAGTCCATACTGTGAGAAGGCTATGATTATGATCACCTTGTTACCACTGATGGGTGTGATTTGCCTGCTGAGATTTTAATCATGATTTCTCCCAGGAGCCCACCACTTGCAGCAAAAGGTGATGGCTGTTAATGTTTAGCATAGCTGCTAATATTAAAAAAGGGCTATAAAATCACTCTTTTCTGTTTTCAGTGGAGGGATGAGAAACATCTGTCTTGAATGTTACAAGAAAAAAAAATCTCAGCATGCAATTTCATGTGTGAATCTGTGGTAATCAGCAAGATGGAATGTGATCTCTTGGGGGAGATTGTATCATTCTCCAAAATGAGGCAAAAAGGGCAAAATAAGCATTGGGGGGTTGTGAGTAATGGTTTTGTAACACCTAATGTATTCCATTTTTCTGTTAGCCTTTGGTTTATCTTGCTATTTTTCTTTTTTTGGGAGGGGAAATAACCACATGCCAGAATGTGATTGAATAAAGACTGTTATTCATGTTGCAGCATGTTATGAAAATATCCTGGAGAGCCTAAAATAGTCCAGAGAGAGACTGGCAATAGCCGTATGTATGGCTTCAAAGCCCCAGTAGAAGTCAATGGGGTCACTCATTTTGATTTCACTCAGACCTACAGCAAATGTAAAGCCTTGAAAATGCAGTGATAGGTGCTGGATTAGAATCGGATGGGTTCCCCACTTCTCCTGGGAGTGCCACCCCCACACAACCCCCACTAGCTAAAAAGAAAATTTTAAAAGCCATGATTAAATTGACTTTTTACACTTATTTTAATGATCAGGAATTCTGAAGAAGACGCACCTCATCCCAAGAAACAAGAAGTTTCCAGCAGCACTGCAGGGCGAGATCCCTGCAGAATCTTCAGTGGAAAAAATTATCCTGGTGTCACTGTGGACATTGCCATGCCTTTTCTGCCATGCTTGAAAAAAAAGAAGTCACCTGTGCCTTTAGGCAGGAATATCTTTCAAAACCACACCCTACCCATCCAGCAGAACTACCAGGCCTTGCTGGAGATGTGCTTGAAGAAAAAATGCCTGTTCACAGATGACAACTTCCCTGCTCACATCAGCTCTATTGGAACAGGAGCACTGCTAAAGAAACTACCCCAAAATTTACAGTGGAAGAGGCCACATGTAAGTGACTTTCAGTGAATAATCTCATGTAAGAGGATGATTACAGCTGATAGCCAGCAAATAGTGTTAGCATTGAGCAGACTACTCTTGGACTTTAATTTAGGTGTGCCTTAATGCCTCCAGGGATTACACTTATTGTATCAGCTGTCATTTTGGAAGCTGGAGTACATGGAGTTTCATAATTGCCTTTGAAGCATTTGTTGCCCAAAATCATAACCAGCCTCGTTCAGTTTATATCCAGTAACGCTCAGAGCAGGCAGGGAGAGGAGGCGAAGGGAGCGGGGGGAGCCGGTGTCCTTGGAGCTCATAGCTTTGATGATCCCACCATGATTCCGTGATGACAATTCTCATGGTGATGATCCCTCTCCCCAGAATTCAAGATCTTGACCTTTTAGAAGATTTCCGAGTTTCTATACAGTTCTCAGCCTTTGACCCCTCTCCCATGGACCACATACCATTGTGATGCTGGAGGCTGCTACTTTCACCGGCAGCGGCAGGTGCCTTATCGTCTTGCTGGGCTGTTTTTTTCCTGCTTAACTGTTTAGTCTATTCTTTATTGTACTTAGAGCAGTCTTTTCACAGCTGTCAAGGTTGAGCTTCTGCCACAATCAGTAATTGACTCTTAATCAGTGAGTTGTTTTTAGTTCTGGGACCTCTGTTTTCTCCTTGTGCCCATATTTTCAAGGCCTTTGCTGGTATCCCACGCTTAAACTGAACATCACAACAAGAGACACCTGGTACCGAGCGCTGGTCACAGAGCAAGTTCTCGTAACAAATGGGTAACAATTCTAGGAGGCCAGGACAGGGGACTGGCACAGTTAGATAAGGCCTGTTAGCTCTGGCCTGTCACTATCAATGGCAGTTCTGTTCTTACTGAGCCAGTGAGCAACATACTGACAATCAGATCTTACTTGAAAGCCATGTATAGAATTACCTGAGAATTTCAGTAGCACTGGCTCCTTATGTTACCATGTCTGTAAGGGAATTCTGCCAGGTAATAGCAGATAACATTTCCTAGCTAAGTTATTTTCTAGCTGTCATATTTTGTCAGATTTAACCAATTTCTTAGAAAGGGCTGAGTTTCTGCAAAACTCATGAAAATCACTGAGAAAGTAAAGGCACTTTTGCAAATTGTGCAGGAGAGCTTGGGAGTAGCAGCCCTGGTTCTCAGAGTTTCATATGCAATTTGGTCTTGCAGATGGTTTGTGTCAAGTCAGGATCTGCAGAGGGAGGAAGAGTGCAGTCCTCAGGGGCCTGAGCTGGGTTGCGCTGGGCACTGCGTCTGAGGCAGCTGTATCAGCATAGGGGTATTTGGGAGGGAAAAGTCAACATGAGTCCTGGCCTCTACAAAGCCCTTCAGATGTGCCTCCACCCCAGAGATACTGGAATGGACTTGAAACCTCCTCTGTCTCTCAGTCCACTGTTCTAAAACTGCCTCGTGAAGAAGGCTGCCATTTGCTCTGAATGCCAAACTTAGCCCAGCAAAGGCTCTCTGAGGATGGATGCTGTGCATCCTTCAGTCCCTGTGCTGCAGAGAAAACTCTGAGATTCTGCCATTCAGCCTGCAGGCTTGTAGCTTGCTGCATCTATGACTGATGGCCTGCAAACTGAACACCCAAATTCACCAAGGATAGGGGGTGGTGTCTAATTACTGTAACTGCCTTCTGAGGGTTTGCTGTTTCTCTGCTACTGCCTGAAGGGGAAGCCAACAGCGTGAAAATTAGCTTGAGCAATTTGTGGGTCATTAGAGTGAAACGTAAGTTTGACACTTATGTTATTAATTTGACCCCAGAGGCACTTGTGAGAGGAAAAAAATAACAGCGTAATTTCTTTCTGAACAATTATTCACAGACCCACTCTTGTCACAGCAACAGGAACTTCTCTAGCAGCCATCAGTTAGTCTGTAGCTTGATTGTCAGTCAAATCGTGGAGATGTCAGCCAGGTTTGCTGAAAGTTTGAACAGTTATGCTCTGCCTTTTTAGCCTGTTTTGGCTGAAACTTGTCAGTAATTATGGAGGAGCTGGGCTGGCAGGCCTGAAGGGTTGTCTTCTCAGCAAGGTGTTTGTGGAGACCCATGGCAATGCATCTGAGCACCAGTGGCTTATGTCAGAGACCAAACTCAATGCAGACCAAGCACAAATGTGTGCCCAGGCTTGTGTCAGGTTAGCCAGAGCACATGATAACACTAGAGCTATACCTGAACCAGAACAATGCCTGCTGGGACAAAGGGACCCTAAGTATTTTGAAAGCTTTGAACAGGCAGGAGGAGTGTCTTGTGTCACATATCCATGAGGTTTTTACATCCTAGACTAGTAACTCACTGGATTTCCCATCTTACGAAATTGCAGCTCTGCACACAGAAAGTCCTTGACTTAAAGCTAAACCAGCTTATGTTACTGACTTGACTTTCTCCCTCTTTTCTTTCTGGTTGTGTGTTTCCCAGGCTTTGCACAGAACTCCAGTATTTTATGCTGCAAACAGAAAGCAGCTTGATCTCTGCCAAGGATTGGTGGGTAAGGAAGCTCCTTTGTGTAAATATCTAAGTATTCTTATACAAGATAACATTTTGTGTGGAATTTTGACTGTGTAAACCTTGGCATAGAAATAGAAGGTTCGCATATCCTTATCTCTTCGCTTGGCATGGTGTGGATGAAGCAATCATTAAGATGGGGTAGGCTCAGTAAAAAACCTGGCAAGCTTCAAGGTGGGATTTGAGGGGTGAGAGGTGTCTCCACAGGCTGAAATCGCCATTCTCTGTGTTGCTTCTGTCCATGCTAGTACTGCAATAGGAAGTGATCCTGTGCTTTTACGGGTCTGTAATGTTGCTGCTTGACAATTGAACAGAGATCACAGAAGCGGGAAAATCTGAGACTGTCATTATCTTTCTATCTAAGACTTAGTGTGAATGCGTTCTCTTCCCAGCTTTGTAGTTAGAAAAATCATTTTTATGCCCGTGTTACCCAAAGTAAAAGGATATATTGTCATCTGCAATACAGGTAGGGGCAGGATTAAATTAATTTTTAAGTGCTTTAAGCCCTTGAACACAAAGTCTGATAAGTATAGTCTTGCAAGTGAGATCCATTGGAAATGATTTTTCTCTTCTGAAAGTTCATGTTTTCAAAGAAAAAGGGAAAAGTTTTTTTTTAATAGTATGCCTTTACAGAGAACAGAAAAAAACTATGCAATGTCAGTAAAAACTCAGAATGTTTCCATTGAGAGCTATTTCTTGCTAAATTTCTTATTTAACCAAACAGTATCCAAATGAAAAGATCATGAGAGAACAATTATAAACCAATCATGGTTTGGTTAAATAAAGCACATGTCTGGATCGTCTCATTTTCTGTGTATGATTTGTTATGATTGTAAAGACATCAGCACAACAGCTTTTCTGCTAGGATCTTGGTGGTGTTTCTGAACTTGGCTGACAACTCTCGCTTTTCAGCCAACTGCATGTGTCCGTTTGTCTTGGCGCAGAGAACTGCTGGTTCCTGGCGGCCTTGGAAGCCCTGACGTTCCACCAGGACATCTTGGCTGCAGTCGTGCCACAAAACCAGAGCTTTGAGAGGAAATATGCCGGCATTTTCCACTTCCGGGTATATCTGCTCCCTGGGAGTACGGGGAGGTCTTCAGGAATCCTCTGTCATGTTTTGTGTTGCACCCTTAGATAATTTGTACAGGGGCAAGTGGCCAGAGGGTATCCCAGCCTGGAGGATAGCCCATCAGCCCTCCTATGAAGCAGTGCAGACAGTGGATCAACTGCAAGCCAGTCTGAGGATATACCTCCACTTGGCCTTCTCTCCAGCTGTGCCCTCCCAATATTTTAATCCAGAAAAAAGTTTTCCTACACAGTAGCAACAGTCAGCAGAGCTTGAGCACATCTACTCCAACTTTCTACCCCTTTGCCCAGCTCTTGGTGTAACTCTGCTACCCTGCAATTAGGAACTCCTTCCCCAGAAGCCCAGCTGTGCCTAATTTCCCTGCTTAATCCTTTTACACCTGATACAGGCTTTGTTTTCTCCTCTGGCAGGGTGGGGTTGAGGAGTTGGCTATGTGGGTGAGTCAGCACATCCACTGCCCTCCCCCCAAGGCAGCTTGTTCTATGCCCACAGCTAAGCTATCTTGCCTTTCCTGTTGTTTCAAGGGGAGGTCTCTTTCAAAGGAAACATCAGCTCATTCCTTTCCTCTGACAGTTCTGGCACTTCGGTGAATGGATTGACGTGGTGGTTGATGATCGCCTGCCGGTGAACCAGGCGGGGGAGCTGGTCTTTGTTTCCTCAGTCTATAAGAATGTGTTCTGGGGAGCCCTTCTGGAGAAGGCATACGCTAAGTAAGTGACTCATTCCAAGTTATGCAAATAGTCTCCCTAAAATATGTTCGTTGGTGCCTACGCAGTTTGTTCTTGTTTATAAATGTATCTCCTAGGCCTTGCCACATTTGGAGTGTAGTAAATGGTTCTCATCTTTCTATTATTACACAGTAAAAGCTGCCACTGCAGTAGCTGTTATCAATCCAGGCCCTTGAGTTTAAATCCAAGGATTTAGGAGTAGGCGTGAAAACAGACTTATCCTGGGGGGTTGTCCTCTGAGTGTTGTCGCTGTTTGGAGTGTATTGGCTACAGAGGAGCAGAAGGCCACAGACAGGGATTTTCAAAGGTGAATGATTTCTGATGCCTCCTTTGATGTATTATCAGTTTGAGAAACCTCCAAGGAGTTTCATTTTGGGGGTCTGCTGAAGCATTGTACTTTGGTTTTGGTAGAAGTTCCTGCTCTGGGGTCCACCAAAGCTGAGGCATTCAACAAGTCACATGGTACGATGAGAATACTGGTTTCTCTCCAGGGTGTTTTTTCTAGAGTAGTTTATCAGGACTAAGAAGAAAGCAACAAGGCATAACTGATGGAGTTTGTTATTAGTGGGCTGAAATAATCTCTGCAGAGCAGGGAAAAATTCTAGTTAACATTGAGAGAAAGATCACAGCAAAGGAGAGGAAGTTCAGTTGTTTTCATTTGGTGCTAGTCTTAGAACAAGAAGACCAGAGAAGGTTGCACTGCAATGGTAAAGAAAATCAGATTGGAGACTGAGCTCTCAAGACAGTGTGCCTCTCAAGACACTGTATCTTAGATACAGCACAGTGTCAGGTGATAAATTCAGACAACATTCGCTACGGCAGAGTTATCAAAGAAGTCGTGTTGGGCATGTTCTCACTACTGTGCAGTGAGGGATGACAGTGAGTGAAGAGTCCCTTTCAAACTATGGCCAATCTTGGAGGCAATTTGCTAGATTCCCCTCTTCCTAAATGCCAAAATTCCCCTAAAATTAAACATGAGTTACAGCCTTCCTTCTGCTTTTGCAAACCTTTATTGTATGTTTTCGTTGGCATGCTGTTCTCAATCTATCATCTGTGACTATAACCCCACGAATATACTGATGTCTTTTTTGCTAGACTTTATGGCTCCTATGAAGATCTGCAGATTGGGCAAGTTTCAGAAGCCTTGGTGGATTTCACAGGTGGTGTTAATATAAGAATCAAGCTTACAACAGCTCCTCATGATCTCTGGGATATCCTGACAAGAGCAACCTACAGCAGATCTCTCATGGGCTGTCAGACACATTTAGGGGTGAGACTTGGAGGGACGTCAAATGGATGACATCGCATTGAATGTGGCATTCACAGCTAAAAGCCTTTCCAGACCTGTTTCCCTCTACTCAGCTAGTCATTGTGACTCAAAAAGTATCAAAGCTGCCACATGTGACTTTCTGTAGAAATCACATTCTTAATGTTAAACTTTGCACATGGATTGATTCCCTGCAGCTCTCAGCTCCCTGTTGTTACATTTAGGAACTGGTTTATCTATCAAAGAACCTCTATTAAATAAGGACCTACTGCAATTTCCCATTTTTGTTAAATAAATTTTCCATTTTTACAGATGGTGCAGTGAGGAATGGAGTAAGCTTATAGCGAAGATAGAGGGGGGTGTAGTTCAGAACATGAATTCAAATCTTGGCTTCCAAGCCTTATGCTAACACTTCAGCTGTTGGAAAGCCCTACCGTTCTGAAAATCAAAACCTGACCTCCTGGACTTTTTAAAAGTGAGATGGTCTCTAGCCAAAGATTCACAATTTAGGAAGGGACCTTCCCAATCAACCTTCCAATTCCAAGCATACTGCAAAATATGGCTTTTAGGACCTTAGACTTAATTTTTTTTTCAGTTCAAACCATTCTCCATTTACTTTGAGAGTCATTGCTTACATAGGTACAGGTCTGTGGTATTGGTATGAGTCTGCTGTGTAAGTAGGGATAGAATAAAAGGTTTCTTTTCTTTCTGTTTCTCTTCCTTGTACACAGGCAACAAAGATCCTGAAGAATGGGCTTGTTGCTGGCCATGCCTACACAGTAACTGGTATTAGAAAGGTAGGACTAGCCCTAATCTCCTGGGTCCAAGTTTGTCTGGATGTCAGCAATTTTTACTGCAGTCATAGGTTCAACCCTTAATCAGGGCAACTATGGTATCTCCTCCCCCAATGCTCTTCTCGTAGTCTAAGGCTAAAAGAGACTGCGTGCTTTTTAAAGATTCACTTTCAAGTGTGTCCATTTTAGTATCATGACCTTGATGTAAAGGACAAAGGTTATAGATCAGCATATCTTTAAGGGTGGGAGTGATTCATAGGGCTCTGCTGAGAGCATCACCTACAAATGCATCTTGGCTGTTAAGGACAAAAGGACTGGCCTTTGGGGATGCTGGGAGGATGTGCTGAAACCTACTTGGGGTAAAAAGCTTTCCTCTGAAGTCAGAGGAGGGGCCATAGAGAAGTAAAGATAATGGCATACAAGGGCCAAAACATGAAAAACTGCAGATGGAAATGTGAGTCAAGGCTAAAGTAAGGGAACCGAACTGGGCTCCTGTGCAGAGAGTGCAGCTGGACCCCACTGATCTGCAGAAGTATCATTGGGAGTCCCCTGAAGATACTTGTCTAGAGGTAAGGGACAGTAAAATAGTAAATCCCAAAGAGGGGAGAAAGCTCAAGCTTTCTCCTTCTGGGCTGATGGATGACTATCATCTTGTCCAGCCTCAAAAGGAGGTTGACAAGGATGGCAAAGGACTTTGTGGGGCTTTGGACATGTGATATAGATGTGGGTGAAAGCACGTTCAGTACCACTAGCAAGAGATATTAGGAAAGCTGGAAGAGATACTATGAGCTGGATGCTGCACGCCTGTGTCTCACACACACAGTAGGAAGGTTTTAAGTATGGACTTTATCAGCGACATGTCTGTCAGTCTGGCTCCTCTGATGGGATGAAGAGCCAGGCAGGAGCAAGGGACTGACTGAGCATGTGGAGCCGATGTGAAGTCAGCCGTTCTGCTGTATACTGCCAACAAAGCCCCTAGTCTGCCTGGGTCCCTCTTCTCCCACCATGGCCTCCCAGTTCAGGAGGCACTAATCTATGTGGTCGCCCCATGGGCTGCGTAGTGCTGTGCCATTGCCACTGGGGTAGGACTTAGCTTTCACAGTAGTACAGTCCTGCCCCCACATAAGGACAAAATGAGCAGATATTGGAAAGGAAGAGGAATTTACAGTCAAGTCTCCAAATTAGGAATCTGTGAGGTCTCTGGTTTCAGTTATAGAAGGTAAGATAAAGCATCTTAATCTCTTTGTGCCGGCATTCAGAGTTACCTGTTTATAGATTTTTATCATCATACTTGCTGGCTTCTATGAGAACAAACAAAATCTTTGTTAATGTCTGGCATAGTACAGTCATATAAACCAGATGAGAACTGCTGAGACCTTGGTAAGCACAGTGTTACTGTTTTCTGCAGGTGACCTGTCAATATGGACCGGAAAACCTAGTAAGACTGAGAAATCCATGGGGAAAAATTGAGTGGAAAGGAGACTGGAGTGACAGGTGAGTTTAAAAAGGGAAGGTCTGATACTGAGTGGGAGGAAAAGTTTCTTGGAGGAAAGATGCTGCCATCTTCAGGCATGAATTAGTGCTGAGAGCAGCATTAAGATAACTAACAGTTGCTTGCACAGACCCTCTGGTGTCAAAGCAATGACTTGATAGATTTGTATTTCTCCAGCAGATAGTGCTCACGTAGTTGGGCTCACTTCACACATGCAGCTTCAACAAGCTCAGTTCTGCTTTTCCATTCACTGAATGCCAGAGGAAACATAATATGAACATCAGATGCTGACCGTGTTGCTGTGATCTGGATGGCATGCAAAGTGACAGATAGCTGTGCAGGATGCTGTAAACAAACAGCATGTTTCAGGGCACACAGAAGGGACCGTGCAAACTCCTCCATGGGCTGCAAAGTGTTGGAGTTGGGTGGCTGCGAAGGAATCCTCTGTCCTGGCTGTTCGGGGAAATAAAATTGGGTATGAGATCAGAGAAAGCAACCAATGAGGCAAATTCCTATATATTTGCATCTGCCTGAATTTCTTGATTAGGATCCATGAAAGACAGTGGTTTGCATTCTAGACCACAGGCAACTGTAGACTTGTGTCTTATTCCTCTTTGAAGTGGAGCATGTTGCTTCCTTCCAAGGTTCACACCATTCCCTGCACAGACCCTGTTTGCTGAGGCTCCGGGGTAGGGACGAGGGAAGAGCACAGGGAGGTGTTGGGAATGTAAGTGACTTTCACCTTGTCTGCAGAGCAGTAACTTCTCTGATGTGTGTCTGTCCCATAATGACAACATACCAGCTGTTCTTGTTGAAGAACATAATGAGCAACATACTGTAGGCCTGCCTTTTAAATGACTCCCAGCTGCCTCTTGTGCTGTCCTAGTCATTCATTCATTATGCCAAACACTCTTCCCTTTATGTCTCCTTTGGCAGAAAATTAACCAACAAAACAGGTCTAGATTTTTATGTTTTAAGTACTTTGAAGTTGCGTGTGCAAGTGAATGGACTGGCTGATGGAACATTTCTGGCTTCTGCTGGAGAAAACTGGAGCTGTTTAGCTACATCTCATGGGACCCAGAGTGCTTGTGGAGAGTCTCCCGTGGCTGAAGGCATAGGGGGCCTGTGTTTAGCGGGGGATAAACGTGGAGATATGTGGGGGCAGGGATTTGGCCTCTTTTTATAGAGGAAATCTATGTACTCTGCCTTGAATTTGAGGCCACATTTGGTTAGTCACCTCATGTTTTTGCCCTCAGCTCTTACAAATGGGAGCTGCTGAGCCCGAAGGAGAAGATTTTGCTGAGGAAGAAGAAGGAGGATGGAGAATTCTGGTAATGGTACAGTCTCACCTCTCCCCTCTCTGCCAGTAGCTCTGGGGCTGCATCTGGAGATGAAGCAGCACGTTGCCACTTAGGTCGAGGCATATCTGATCTGCTTTGTAACAGCCCATGCTTGCTTTCTTGCTCTCCTCCTCTGCTTGACGGCGTGAGAAGCAGTAGCTGTGCTGACACGAGAGAGATGCACTGTTCTTCAATGGCAGGAGCTGGGGAGAAGCAGGACACTGCCAGGTCTCCCAGGGCTGCTGGAGACATGGGCAGCTTTCAGGAGCTTTTGTCCTGCCTTTTATTTTTAAGATAGCTTTGGGAAGCTCTTGCTTGCCGTATGTTTGTTCGTGGTTTCTCCACAGCTTCTGCCACGAGGTGGCAATATTGTCGCCCGTGTCATTTCACTGCGGTCCCTTTGGTGGCAATATTATTTTAATCTCTGTCCTGCTATCTTTTGCTGAAATTTGAGTGATGCATTTGCTGCTGCTGGATGCTGCTGTTGGAGCAGACGCTCTCTTCTTTACTGCCTAATAAAATATGAGCATTACCATATGTAACACAGAATGCTGCGGCTTCGAAGTTCCCTGCTCCCTTTCCTTTTCTTTTTATAAGCCATATGGACTAAACTAAACTGCTGACAAGATTTGTCTTGGCACTCTTTTCCCAGGATGTCTCTGCGAGATTTTAAAATTCATTTTGTAGATCTGACGATCTGTAAATTAACTCCAGACCTGATGAGCCAGGAGGATGGGAAGAAGTGGATGTACTCCCTGAAGAGTGGGAGATGGGTTAAAGGAAGCACAGCGGGAGGAAGTCTGGGATTCTGTAATGGTGAGGGGTGCTCTTTTGGATGACTCTGGGGTGACATTGCTCTGCTGACTCAGTTACCAGCACCTTAATACCTGTTAACACAAAATTGACAACAGAAACATGCTCTTCCTGCTTAATCCTCCACACAAACATAAGAAATAACTAGCTGAAGGACTTTGACTAGTTTCTGCTATCACAGAAGCTGCATCACTTACAAACATAGGGCAGTGGGCTGGTTATGGCTTGAAATGAGATGCAGGATCCTAGAATCAATTGCCAACACTGAGCTTCTTTGGGGCATTAAACTTGTCTGTTAAAATTTGTATCCTCAGCACCTCATGGGAGTGGTATTTTAAGTGAAGTGAATGGGAAATGCAGAGTCTCAGCCCTTCTGGAAGCAGAGCAGGTGGGGTCTGAAGTCAGCTAGCTCATACACCGGAGGTGATAGAGGAATACATTTATAAACAAAATGAACTCTTAGTTGCAGCTGAGCAGAAATGTAGTTCCTTGTTCCTGGGCCTTCCTCTTGTCTTACGCAGTGGTTGCACTGCTAAACTTGTAAACTGCACCCTAAGATCAAATCCCTGTAGGGTCTGGAGGTCCAGACAACCTGTGACCTATTCAGAACAATGCCAGGCATCATGTGGGAAGCTGGCAATCAATTCTGTGATGGAAAATGATATCAAAATGTTTTCTTTAGTCACCTTTTGGATGAACCCTCAGTACTGGCTGAATGTTTTACCAGTTGAAGACAGTAAGAAAAGCCTGGGTTCCTGCAATGTGGTTATATCCCTGATGCAGAAACACAGCAGCAAACACCGGAACCGAGCTCCTCACCTCTTCATTGGATTTTCACTCTACAAGGTGCGAAGAATTGCTTTGCTTTTCTTGCTTTCACCAGATAGGAAAACTTCCAGCCCCCGTAAATTGTAGAGCTTTGCAGACCAAGAGTTTTGTTGTGTGCAGGGTGATCTGGGCTGTTTTCTCCTTGCCTGTGCCCAGTCTCCTCACACATCAGGGCTAGGCTCCCTCAGGCTCTGTGCCACACTTGCTGCCTCTCCAGCGTGCTGTGTGTCAGCCTGCAGAGCAGTAAGAAATGCCTCTTGCTTCAGAGCACACTGGGCTTTAATTTGCCCTCTCTGAGACTATGTGCAAGAGCTGGGAGAGCGTGCCAGGAGTCTCCCTTTGGGGCAGGGAGAGCACTGCCCTCAGATTATTCTCAACCATGGTAAATTTGTGCTTGAGAAGTGTTCCTAGTATGACGGGGCAGCTGCCCGTGTGTGAATACTGCTAGTTCCCTCTGTAACCAGGGTAAGTGATATCACTAGGAGTGAGAGTTTCACCCCCTCAATTCTCTGCTTATCTGAGTGCCTTGCAGAGCCACTCTCCTCGCTTGAACAGAGCCACAGCTCTTGTTGCTGCTGTGAGTTTGCACAGTTATGGAGAGATGGCTGTGGGGAAGGGTATTCAGGTAGAGGGGCTGAGGTTTCTGAAGGCAAAGACCCCAGCTGAACATATGTAGCTGCTTCCCAGCAATGATATGGCTATGTTGTGTGAGACCCAGAGGTCCCTGTCTGACAGATGCTCTGTTTCTTTTCTTTCTGCAGGTGGACCTACAGGTGAGTACCTTGTAACCGCTGCTGGCTGTTTGCTGGGGGACCTGGGCTGGTGCAGCTGCTATGACAACACTGAAGGTGTTGGTTTTGCCTTTGTTCCTTGGCTGACAGCTAGTAACAGAGTATTTGAGTTCAGTAAGGCACCACAGTAAGTCACTATCTACTGACTCTTCTGAAGACCAGCCGTATCAGGAGGGCTCAGTGGCCTTAAAAAGGGGCATTAGTTGTTCAGCTTCTGCGCTGGGTCTTCAAAGGTATTAGAAGTGGCATCAGTGTTTATCTGATCAGCACTTTGTCCCTCCTGTAGTTGTGGGATGGTGCCCCAATTCTTGGCTGTGTCTCAGCTGGAATCGCTGCAGCTCTCAGGGGAGCCAGAGCCACCTTTCTGCTGCTTCCCAGTCTTGGGATGAGGTAGGAACAGAGCCTGTATCCCATGCAAGTCAGGGGTTTCCCAGGGAGCTCAGGTTCCTTCCTGGCTGGGGATGCTCTGGAGCTGATGCTACAGGTGTTTTTGGCTGCCTCAGGCTAGCTGTATTTCTAGCATTTTCTTTAGCTAGGAGCCTTTGGAACCTGAGGAAGGGCCCTGGAAGTTAAACCCTGATGTATGTCCCAATTTTGGCCTTGGCCTTAGAAGGCTATTTAAAACAGGGAAAGGTTTAGCTCCTTTTATCTTGAAAGGGCATATCTTCCACTCTGTTACTACTCAGAACACCTCTTAAATGAGAGTCCCTTTGAATTTGGGCTGGCAAAGAACTACTTTGGATGTAAGGTCAGGGCAGCACAATTGTGTTCCCAGCTACTGTATTTCCAGCATGGTAACCATGAGGTAAGATGCCACTCCTTCCTGACTTAAATATTTTGGGCACTATCAGGGTTACATGTGAGTTAAATTTCTTGGCAGAGGAAATGTGCTGTGCCACACCCAAGGGGGAATGATGGCAGCCAGGACTTCAATTTCAGGTTTGTAGCGGTTGCCAAGATCAATACAGAAAGATGGCAAGTTAAAAGCATCTAAGGTATTGGAACTACAGTCAACAAAGTATTGACTGGAATATAAAAACTTTAAATTTAAACATAAGGGGCATGAGGAGGAGTAACCCCGAACCCTTCAGAAGAAAGATTGCTCTATTAGTAAGAAAAATACTGGCAAAGGAAGAGGAATAGCATCTCCACTACGAGGCTGCGGAGTAAAATGGCTAAATGTTTTGAGGAACAGCCAAGATCAGAAGGTGACAGTGGTCTTAGCTAGCAGGATTATTTATTTGGCTTGTGTACTGGGCAGGGAGAGTGGCATTAAAAATGAGTTCAGTGTTGCCTGGATCAACACTTTATCCATCCTCCTATTGCAGAAAAGTGCCTGCAGAGTGAAACATCTGTAAGAGCCAAGAGTGTCAGGCAAATGAAGGACACATGCACGGAGTCAGGGTTAGGGATTAGGTTGCTCCTGCCGTGTGCTCAGATCCCAGGTGCTCTGAAAAATCCTCTGCTGCCAGATCCTGAGTGCAAAGGACAAGCTGGGAACAAAGTGCATGGTACCTATGGGATAGGGGGGGTGTTCCGGCTAATGAAGAGCAGTCTCTAGAGCAGTTCCTGCCTGCAGTCACTTCTGCTGGTATAGAAAGGACTTTTGCAGTAGCTTGGGTTGACAGAAGCCACTTCTCCTCCCAGTCCTTGCTGCTGTTCCTTGCAAGTGCTATTATATTGTTGATAATGTTGCAGGAAGCCCTGTTCTTTGTCATTCTAGTATTGGGCAGGCATGGTGCGTGGTGAGAACCACCATGTCCTGGGGGGAGACTGAGTCCTTTGGGCCCTGTTATCTGCTTGTGCTGTAAAAAAAATCTGAGGTGTCAAGGCAGGCTATCCATGCCATGCCTGTGAATTCTCCACGTGGCTTTTGTCTGTTTGTTCAGCTGGTGCAGAACACATTTCTCTTCTGTTTCTTCCCTTAACAGTACCAGGAAAGCAACAGAAAACTGCCCCCAGCTTTCTTCACCCGACATCAGCCTGTGAACAAGCACCAGGTCTTCCTTGATGAGCGGGAAGTGACTCATGACTTCCATCTGCAGCCTGGTGTCTATGTGATTGTCCCATCTACCCTGGAGTCTCAGCAGGAGTCTGAATTCATCCTGCGGGTCTTCTCCAGGAAGCATGTTCTTCGGTGAGATGCTGCTGCCCCTCTGCTAGCACCTAGTTCTCTGAGATGGTGGGATGGTCTGATCTTTCTACTCTAATGGGGACAGCATAAAGACTTCAGCATGCAAAAGGCAGCACAGTCTCTTTTGGAGAGGCTGGCTGTGGTCTCTCCCAACATAGGATGCTCAGTGGATGAAGCACTGCTTTTGGCCTTACCCTTTCAAGAAGCGTTGACCTAGGCGCACACAAGGGATTCTTGCAGCACACTCCTGTTTGAGACTGGAGAAGGACAACAGTTTTTAATGCACCATGAGTTTGCCAGGAGACCCTGCTGGCTGTGCTAGGGTGATTGCTTGTGCAGAAATGGTGCTTCGGAGACTTCAAATGCCAGCAGCCCCTGGGGAACTGTATGGACATGAAGGCTTCCCTTACCGCAGCTGTAGCACTGGGGAAAAAAACATATGCTGCAACAGCGGGTTGGGGCCCCTTCTGGGGAATGGGGGATGCCACCTGTGATGAGACAAACACACAACTCTGGGATACGTACTTAATGTGTCTGCTTTTTTGCATCTCCAGGGAAATGGGCGGGAACACCAGTTTCACCCTCTCTAAGGTGAGTGAATATGAGGGGAGTGGGAGGTCTGTGATTTGGTCTTCAGCTCTGGGTGTTGAGTTTTTCCTGTTGCTCTGCCCTGTGGAGAGGCTGAGTGAGAATGTGAGTGCTTGTGTTGCAGCACTTTTGAAAGGGCAGCTTGGGTTTACAGGCAAAGTCCCTTGGACCATGTGGACACATGCAGTCAAATGTAGGGGATGGGCAAATTTTTAGATGCCTTTGTTAGTTGCATTGTGCAAACTTCTTTTAGTGACACCGTCTTACGCACTCTGCAGTCTTTCCCATTTATGGCTTTTTGGAGACTCCTGGTCTATTCTTGCACTTCTCTCCGCTCCTTTCACACCTTGAAAGTTTTGAAGACATCATGGGACCTGAGCAGTACTGTTTCTATGCAGTGGTCCATAGGTTATTTTCAAAATAACTGAGCTCAATGGCAGTACATGCATGCCTGCAACTTGCATAAGGGAGTTTAGCATAGTCTGTTCCCCTGGCATAAACAGGGCCATTCCTTCTTTCATCTCCTCTATTCTTCTGTATAAAGGAGGACAGAGATCCTTCTCTCTCTCCTTGGCATGGAGTGAGCCTCATCCTTTGTTGTTGCAGAGCTTGGTGGGAGGGAAATGTTTCTCCCCACTGAGTGTTATCTGAGAATTTCTTTCCAAGAAATAGCATTTCTATGAGGTGCAAGCTATCTTAACAGTGGGCTGCATTAGTGAGGTAGCATTGATTGCAGTGGTGGGGAGAAGGTGGAAGGGCAGAGGATGAGAGTGCAGTTATGGGAAAGGATCTTTAGTAACTCTGTCTTGGATGGCGTAATTTTTCTTCGAGATAATGATTTTTTTTTTTTTTTTTTAATATCTTAAAGGAAATTGTTGATAGGTATGAAGGCAAGATTTGGGAGGATTTCTTCACAAAGCATTTTGAACAGGTCAGTGTGTGCATGAGCTGCCAGGGTAAACTCCTCCAGAGCTATTATGTAGCTCTGTGAAAGTAAAAGCATGTGGATGTTCAAGGGAAGTCTGGACATGGAAGTGTGGGGAACAGAGAGGGGCCACGGGAGGTTGGGCTGTGTGTACAGTGCTGATTCCATGCAGCAGATTTAACTGCAAAGCTTAGGAATATGTTAGCATTGAGACAGGCATACTTCTCTACACAACAGGGTGTGAATGCCTGGAACTTAATGCCACAGGACACTGCGGATGTGACAGTATCAACAAGCTCAAAAGGTATTAGCAAACTGATGGGCAGCAGGTCCGTAAACAGATACTAAAGGACTAGACAGGGATGTACCCTCTAAGATCCCTTTTCCACCAGGTGTGGGTGCCAGGGAAACAGGAGAATGGACTGCAGAAGCTGACCAGGCTCACGTGGTCTCCCTATTGCCTGTACTGGGGATAAAGCGGTGGGCTGTGTGGATCCATCCTACCCTTCAGGGTGTTCTTACACTCATTAGGGAAAGTCACCTATTAGAGTACACCCCCTGAAATATTGACACTTGTCTCGTACATCCTTCATGTTGTTTGATGGCAGCTAACTTGCTTTGAGAGGTGAAGTAAGTACCAGGTGTCCCATCACCTCCTTTTTTTCACTAATTTTCCTAGTGAAATATGATCCTTATTGTAAAAGATTCTTTTTAATGATTTCTCTGGCCTGATCTGGGACAGAGTTGACCTTAAGGGATCCCACTAACTATGGTGAGGGATGCAAGCGTTTCACCTTTCAGAAAAGGTGGCTGTGTATTTAGCAGCATACACTCTATTTGGCAAACACAATTTCACAAAAACACATTTGCATTTTTGATAGCAATATTTTGATGGAAGCTGTTATTAAAAAAAAAAAAGCAATGCTTTTACTTTTTGCCACTTGTTTAAGATTTTGATTTTGAGAACGGTGTGGCTTTCAGATGTGCTAGAAATTGCCACATATTGCGAGGTGCTGGTCCTTTGCCTTCAGGAGGTCCAAGTACGCACAGAGGCAAGCAGTACTGCCATTTCTCAATGCGTTACCCTGGCATGCCTGAATGATCTGAAAACAGGCTTTTATTTCTGAAGAGTGACATTTAAAAAAATCCTCCAAACAAACAAATGTCACAGTTTCTAAAAAACCTGTAAACTTTAGTATAACAAGGAGGAGGGGAAGTCTCTGCCTTGAAAAGTTTGGGGAGGAAGTATTCCAAAGTTTCCATCTTTTTTTGTTTGTAAGTGATAAAAGGGAAATATTTGAAGCAGGTCTATTGACAGTGTGCTTGATGGGACAGATGGCACCAGGGCTGAAAGGTTAACGGTTTGGATCCTTACTCAGTGTAAATCTGCACTACCGCATTGATCTGTGTGGAGCCCTGAGAACTTAGGCCAGAGCAGACTGCAGCTCTTGCAGGCTGAGAATCTTGTCATATTCAAAGGGAGTCTTTTCTATTGATTTTCACAGTGGCTGGAGTGGGGCCAGAAAAGCAGATAATGAAGATGGGACATGCTGGGAAAACAAAAGAGGGAGAAAAGTGATTTAATACTTAAAAAAACCCCAAAAATAAAAATTCTCTTCCATATCACAGAATCCTGAAATAAATGCTGTTCAGCTCCAGAGGATCCTGAATAATATGTGTTGGAGAAGTAAGTGCTGAGAAATAATGTTTCTGTAAAATAAACCCTCTTAAGAGAAAAGCCTCAGCTCCTGTATCTGTTTCTTGAATTTTGGGAAGAGAAACTGGCTTGAATCTGACTGAAGTGACTCTTCTGATGCCATGTTAGATTTCCAGAGAGAAAGGATTTGCTGGGGTGTGAATCAACATGGTAGAAATGTTATAAGCAAAGCTAATCTAGTTTGAATTTCAACAACTGAAAGAATGAGGGGGAAGAACAAGCGTAGATATTGTGTGTGGGTGCAGACTCTGAATTTGACCTCCAAACCCAGCTTGACCTCGCCTTGATTCTGAAACTGTATCTCATTTCACCCTGTGCCACTGCCACAGTCTCAGCAGTGCCACTGCTAGAAGGTGTAGAAAGTTAGCCTGGTCTGTAGGCAGTTACGCGGTGGAATGGGGTCTTGTCTTTATCTTGATGTACCTGGTTCATGCCTGCTATTCCTATTTACTCTTCCCTGCTATGCGTGCATAGGGCTGTTCCTTGCTCTGTTTGTGTTTGGGAGACAGGATGGAGATGCAGGTAGCCTGTGTAACTTATGCTTGTGAGAACCAGGTGAGCCCTGAGGTTGTCTCTCTCATGAGGACTGTGACATCCACTCTGCCAGTGGCAGCCCAGAGCATTCCTCAAGCTCATAATTTGGTCCCTAGTTATAAATAATGCTACGTGGACATAGCGTGGACAATACGTGGACATGCTACGTGGACAATACAGCGAGGTATTGCAGTGGCTGTTTTCTCTGAACAACAACAATGAAGTTACAGATATAATGATGAATCCAGTTTTTCTTCCCAGTTTCTTCACTGGTAACAACTGATGTGCAACACTGAAAATACACCGTCCAGCTATTATAGGCAACAAAGAAGATGAACAAAGACTGACGAGATGCCTTTTCCACTTAAGCTGAATTTGGCATTGCTCCCTTTTCTACAACGGTGAACAAGGATAGCTCTTCTGTCTTTGCAAAGTGACCCACCAGGCACTGTCTTATCTGTGAGAAGACTGTGTTGAACAGTCATTTAAAAACTTTACAGTACTTGATTCATATTTACTAAACAGGGATGTTACAAGATTAAAACATCTTCACTTTCTGCAGAGAAGGGATTGGTGAGTTATGGTTCTGTCCCTTGCTCAGTGGAAGCCTACAGACAATCTATTATCATGATTTGCAGTGAGATTAGAGTCTATTTCTGTTACTCTTCATGTAATTTATGTATGAACCAGGAATGCTAAGCTTTGATGCAGCATCATGTTTTCAGTGATGCCTGTACTTTTAATTGACAGGGCTGTCAGTGTGTCTGTGAAAGAGAGAGAGATATGCTTAGCACAAGAGTTTCAATTAATCTGCAGTGCTGCTCCCCAAAGCTCTTCAGGTCAAGTGACTTTGCTCAAGGTCATGCAGTAAATTCTGTTTGGGATTATGGCTTTGGATGTCCTTTTCCTTCCATTTTCTCTAATAGCTGGAGATAGTGCACCATATTTCATTCTGTATTACATGCCTGCAGGGAGCTCCTATTGGATTTTCTGAGACTAGTAGAATCCATTCTGTTGCCTCATATTTTTATCATCATAAATGATACGTCTTCTCAAGTGGGTATAAAGTTTCACAAAGGCTTTGGGGCCTGAGCCCTCTCAAGTGAGGGGGAATTTTGGGAGAGTCCGTTTTTCTGAGAGGTGTTCAATGACTCCTCAAAATAATATTTTTTTTTTTCTTTTTTTTTTTTTTTGTCTCTCCAGATTTCCAGAGTTTTCACCTAAGTTTCAGTCTGGATGCCTGCCAGAGTATCTTGGCGCTCCTGGATGTATCCTTGGCATGAGTGATGCTTCTGACTCATATAATACTTCACTGGAGCATTATTTCTTAGGGCAGGCTGGCTGTTACTGTAATTTCTTTACCACCAGGACATGGCCCTGCTTATTGAACTTCTCACCCTCCATAATAACAGTTCAGTTGTGACAGAATGGAATTGGTTTGGGAAAGGGTTGATTCCT